CAGATGAGATGAGTTCCCGAGTATCTATCAATTCAGTAGATGCTAATGACATCCACTTATTTTCCTTATGATACTAATAACGTTCAGGAAAACATCTAGTCATCAACAGGCTTATCAGAAAGAATTTATTTAATGTTTGTAGAGTAAGTGAAAAGTTCACTTCAATTTGAAGTAGTGTTACTCAGTTTTGTAAGTTTTTGTAAGCAAATCAATTCAAAGAATACAGTAGATGAGAAAATATAGAAACTAATGACTAATCTTCCCTATCACACCTAAATGGCCTGGAACTTGTCTTAACTGTAGATTCGTATGAACTCTAATTTTGAATCAATGTGGAGAAATAATAATGCTTAAATAGAATCTATATGGATAAATAGTAATTCAGGGAATCATGCGAGTTTTCGCAACTTGGATTGCTCTCCCAGCCGAAGTAACCACAGCCCCCTCAGTGGACTGCTTTAAGAAGAGACTTGATAATCACGTACTCACATACGGACTATCTTGGACAAACTGTTCATGATGCATGTCTTCAGACCTGCTAGTTGTTATCATTGCCATCTTCTCAGATAACTCAATTAATCTATCTCGCCTGTTATCTCTGTTTCCTCTCCATTGCTTACACTTGAGTCCTCTCTCACAATCTTCACTACCAATTAATAAACTAAATTCATCTATACATTACTCAGTTCTGAAATTTTATTCATATTATCATTAGAATTTTATCCTTATTACCCTTATTACTCTCCATATTGCAACTAACTGATCTCCGGTTTGGTAATGTGATGGCTGCTAGTATCCAGAAACCCTACTGCCCTGGAACAAACGTTTTCATTCAAATCCCGAGAAACATACAAACTCACAACCAACTGCCAACTGACTAGAATTAGACAGTCAAGTGGTTAGACCTCCATCCACTGGACATTACCGAACACCTGGAACTGTACCGAAAGAACAAGAATCGAGTGCGAAGAAATCAAATTGGTTTACAATAGCTCGTGAAAAAGATATTGGATTCTACTTAAATATTATGATTTTAGTAGAATAAAAAACATGATAATAATTGGATCAATGGTAAATTATTCATTCTATAGATCATCATAGATTCTTGTTTTAATTGTGATGAAATCTGTTCTCTGTTTTGAATTTTTCGAATATTTATTGCTTTCAGAGTTTATCGATCAGCAAAAGAATCAATATTTTGACTTTCTAAACAATAACGTGATAATGATACATAGTGATGATAAGGTTTCTTATTGAGTTGATAGAAAGCATTCGTTCAACTTTGAGTGATTACCATTAATTTCATGAAATGGTAATAATCACAGAATTCTCGTCAGTTTACAAGCATGGTCAGTTTGATCTAGATAGAAATGTTTTGATGTAGGCGATCGATAATGGGATGTTTTGATTGTCTGATGTGCTCTTGCTAGAAAATGCTTTAGGAAATACAGTTCTTTTTACATGTATTATGGTAATTCAGTGCAAGAGCTACCATGTTATTTAAGGTGAAATCCTGCAGTTGTATGAACGTCATATCAAGTGTCGTTTCCAGTCATGGTCCGTTTGATATAGGTGGAACTGTTTCATGTTTTATATGCACATCTCACCAGTATCCTATGATCAATGCCACATACAATAATAAGCCATAACGAGTATGGTGCTGTGCTTTGTACAATGTCATTCAATCATTCATTGCATTGTTAAGGTTATGGATATAAATGAGATATCGTTCATTCTTTCTATGATCTCGATTTAAACCACACAGCATATAATCATCTATGCCTAGTTCTACATCTAGTATTGGAGACTGGTATCACGTTTCTGTTAGGATGATCTCCGGTGGTGATCTGAAGTTATGTAAGCTCTTCTCTTTGTTTTAACCACTTCCACGAACCTTCTGAAGGTCATACTGATGCAGATGAGGCCGATCCGGCTCTCAATAGTGTGGTTAAAACCACGCATCTTTGTGTATTCATTTGTCGGGGTGCCATCTATAGTTACTTTTCTGAGGCCACATAGACTTGAAAGTTCCTCATCAGGTTCGTTCATTACTTCCGGCCTATAGTTCCATGTTAGCTTTATACCCAAAATTGTCAGTTGAGTCATTGACGTTCAGGTCTTCCATCTGAGTGGCCAGGATTTTGCTAGTTATCTGTCTACGATCGACTGTAACCTCTCGTTAAGTCTGAATTTTTATTGTCTTCACCGCTATTATTGGTGGTCAAGTAGTACTGGATGACATTCAGTGTAATCTCTTCCCTCTTCGTTTCGAAGTGTTTTTTTATGCTACTGTGGACAATATCAGTACGACCCATTGTGGTTGTAGAGCGTCTGCTTCGTCATGGCTTGAATACAACAACAAATATCTCGAAATTAAATTTTGTGCCCAGCTTTGTCCGAAGGATTCCACTTATTCCCAGCACTAACACGTATCTGTTGATTTCTTGAGATGCATAAGTGGTCCTCTCAGTCTACTATAAAGACTAAAAATCTCATGTACCTATGTTGATTGTTATTCTGGTTGTCCGAAAAGGCATTATAACTTCGTCTCGTTATCTGACTTTAATTTGAACGAAAGTTTAATACCGCATACTAATTTTAGGCTAACTCTTTTTGAGGAACAACAGTAATGAGGCGAATGTGTCAACGCGATATGATAGTGCCACTCATGATTTATAGCCAAAGAAATGTGTGGAATGGAGCAAGCAATACACACATGCAGTGATGAAAGTATATAAGGTTGTGAGCGAATGATAAAATGATGTGTGGACAACAAATTAACTGGTCCATCTAGAATAACCTATATAGGCTTGATATGGAAGTACGCACTACACAGTGGTGAAGAGACCCAGTAAACATCAGGGAAGTTTGTGATATTTTCTGGTTTGCATGAAGTTGCTAATCTCTCCTCCTTTACTTCGATTCGGGACCGGCAGTAATCCTAGAAAGGCTTCAGGTGGAGTTATGCCATGGTTAGGCTCTATTATATGAACTCACAACAATGTGTATACTGACTCAGCCTATAACGGGAGCCAAAGATGTCACTTCGTCGGATATCTTAAAGAAAGCACTGAAACTTACCAAATAATATACCCGAGTTGGCTCCTGCCAAATTTTTATCTATCATTCAAAGTTTTCCCAATATCACTACAGCATATCACTTGTAAACCAAATTAATAATTCATCTATTATGCTAACTCAAAATGGTGTGAGATTGCTACAACAATGACAGATTATTATTCACACGCACAGGCCTACGCTAGTACAGAGTTATACTATTAAATCAGTAGCTTATTTCCATTGAAAATATTTTCAGGTGATAACTAAGAACACAAAGTTATATTACAATGAAATCGTGAATCGATCAACGTTAGACTACTACTAGAAGAGTTGGGTAACCGTTTGGTACTAGTACGGGACTCATCAGCAGTGCACATTCGTGAATCCCGCTCGTGGGAATCAGACTCAGGACCTTCAGTCTCGCATGCAGATACCCACCTCTAGACCACTGAGACGGTGGTATCCAACGGCGTTATTGTGTAACCTCGATCAAAAGACGGTCGCTCATGAAGTATTGAAATCGCATCCGTCGAGGTGGTCGGGACATGTGTTGCGTATGCCTAACTACCCACTGCATCGTCGAGTTATCTTATGCGATGTAGGAAAAGGTTGGAAGAAAGCTATGGGCGGCCATACCAAAACATCAGTCAGTCAGTCAGATGCAACGTAGAACTTCGTACATAAGTACATCAGTTCATGTCGCCATACCACATCAGCACAGAGATATAATTGTCAATTCAAATCCAATAGTAGAAGAGGTCGCAAAGGTATTGGAAGTAATCGGAGGTTAGGATTAGAAGATATTATTCAAGAAGTATGGTTCAGTGAGATAAGTTTAGAGAGTCAAAACTAGAGGTGTTGAAGAATCCAGAAGATTAGGATTTGAGAGAACACAAAGAATAAATGCACCGGCGCCATTGCAAACGGTTTTGAGCCATGTCATTCAAGGTCTCTAACCATCGATTATTATCATCTCGCGGACCACAACCAGGTAGTCGACAATTACCGACATGGCTAACTCCACTCGTCAATGACTTCATGGATTTGTGCCATGTTTTGGTCTGGCCGCCCCTAACTTTCTTCCAAGCCCTTCCTACACTACAAAACAAAGCTCGTCGAGGCAGTCGGTGGTTAGGCATACGTAACACATGTCCCAACCACCTCAACTGATGAAGTTTCACCACTTCATCGATTGATCTGCCATCCTTAACTAGTACTCGTTTCCTAACGACAGCATTGCTTACTCGGTTGTCCCACGGTATACGAGCAATGCTTCGAAGAAACCTATGGTCGAAAACCAGTAACCTACGAATATCTTCTACTCTCACTGGCCATGTTTCACAGCCATATAGGAGAATGGAGCGAACTGCTGCACAGTACACTCGTCCTTTAGTCAGCAAACGGATACCAAAACATGGCAGAAATCCATGAAGTCACTGACAACTGTGTTGAGTCATGTTGGTACATGTAGACTATCTGATTGGGGTCCGCGAGATGATAGTAATCGACGGTTAGACACCATGAATGACATGGCTCAAAACCGTTCACAATTTTGCAGATGCATTCATTCTTTGTGTTCTCTCAAATCCTAACCTTCGGAATTTCTCATCATCTTTATATTTTTAAGTTTATTCCACTAGATTTTATTTCTTGAATAATATCATCGAACCATAATCTTCCCGATTACTGCTTATACGTCTAATACCTCTACTACTATGGGATCACAATCACACTTATGTACTAATGTGATACGGCAACCTGGACTGATATACGTATGTACGAAGTTCTACATTGTAACTCACTGACTGACTAACATCGACTGTCTTAAGTGCGCACTGCTTCACATCTATCCCATATTAGTACAAAACGGTCATTCGATACTTCCACGTTTTTTTAACTGATGGCTTGTCTCACGTTGATTGATTGATCTTCATAATTCATTTTATATAATAATGATAAGTTTTATTCAATCGATAACACACAACAAGCATTAACAATAATGTAATCAATCCCCTAGAATAATAATAATAATAGTACACAATAAAAATGACCTTCTCCAACCAAATCAATAGTGCCGCCAAAAAATGTTCAATGAAATTAAAACAAAAATTTGGAAGAAGAATGAAAATATGAAATAAAAACAAGAGTAGTGAGCGCACACACACACACACACAAGAATATCTATACAAGGAGGACAAGTAAAAAAAAACGGGTGTCATTGGAATTCTTCCTGTAGAAAAACCAAACCGGACTGTAGAATGATGCATTGTTCACATGACCTGGATAGTAATAGTAGTAGTAGATGATAGATGTCATCTGTATAAAAATGTTGATTTGTTTGTTCATCGATAGCTCAAAAACTGAAAAAAAACCCCAGCATAATTATGAATGATTGATTTAAAGCCAAAATTGAATGAAACAAACAAATCATGATCGAGCTTATTTTTTGATCCATATTCCGTTGTGTGCACTGTTCATGATCAGTTTCAAGCTGATGGTAATGCGGAATTCCATGAGTTATATATATATATATATATATATATATATATATATATATATATATATATATATATATATATTATTCATGCAAAGTTGAAGTGATGAAGAGAACCATTATTGTTGTTGTTTGAAAGACAAATTCTCAAAGTTGTCGATTTTCCTGTATTTTTTGAATGATCAACCAAGTGTCTACATGTGTCTGTCTCTCTCTCTTTGTGTGTGTAGAGCCTGGAGCCCCCTTCTATGGCCACTGCCAGTCCTTTTAAGCCTGGATAAAACAGGAGGGTTTGGTGACCCCAGCCTAAATAGATAAACGAACCGGGCGAAAATGACGAAAATAAAACGTGAATCAGAAAAAAGTTAATGTGTGTCTGTGGGTGTGTGCATGTATGATAGGCGTTGGATTATGTCTTTGTACCAATCACACTAGTAGTAGTAGTAGTTTGAGGAGAATATGAGTAAGAAAACAACGATGAAGCCAAAAGCATATAAAATAAACTGTAAATAGCTCCGATTTAAAGCATACATCAACAATTTCCAATGAAGCATTTACGCTGTGTCTCAGCTATTTGAACTACAGAGAGGCAGAGCTATACACATGTTTCAATGAATTATTTTTCTCGTTTGACCAAATTAAAGCGCAAATTAACATGATTATAAAACAAAAAAAAACTGAGTAAAATGCCACAAGTAAGAAAGAAATAGACAAAAAAAACAGCAGCAATACAAGCGGGAAATTTTTTGTTATCAATGAATGTATACAGTTGATTGTTCATTGTTCAACGTAAACACACTCACACACACACACACACACGTAAACAAAGAGATCATGAACTATTGAATTGTTGGCTATTGAACAAAAAAAACAAAAAGCAAAGGCGGGCGGATAAATCAATTTGAATGAATGACCAATAGTCACTGGATTAGATTAGACTAGACTAGATTGGAGTAGACAAGTCATCTAAGTCAATTCTAATCACGATATTTTCCATCCATATGTAGTGTTGTCGATGTTGTAGTGGTAGTGTTGGCGGTCGATGAAGTGGACATGAGATTGGCACGTGTACTACTACTATGAACCATTTCATTAGTAGTACTGGTACTGCTGGTTGTTAGCTTAGCAATACTATGATAAGCATTACGTATTAATGAATAAGGAAAACATGATTCTTGTAAACTTGCAGATAAATATGCAGATTGTTTAATGAGATTATCAAATACAATATAAATGGAATCACGATGTTTAGCTGTTGAGGATGATGATGTATGACTACTACTACTACTACTCGTGAAGGAAGATGGTTGACTAGTAGTACTGTTACTGCTGCTGTTATTATTACTATTATTATTGCTAGCATAGATTTCTGATGACAGCAGAGAAGAGGATGTTTCCAGACCAAGACGTAAAAGATTTGAGGAAGCCAATGCGAGAAATTCTTTGGAACGAGCTTCTAAATCACCGGGTCGAAGTAAAGAAAACATGGAGACCTGTATAAACAAACCAGAAAGGAAAAGAGGGAAGTATAAGACAACATATTGAATGAAATTATTGTCATATTGTAATGAAGGAGAACACAGGTGAGGGCAACCGAATTGTATTTAACGAAAATTACAGAGTTAGTTACTCAGTAAAATAGGGGAAACCATATCGTCAACGGTTGTTAATTTGCAAATCTTCAATCCATCATCAATCCATTGTCTGACATTCATTTCACTATTCATGCGTTTCATACAAATTCCATTGTGTTCCCCCCACTCTTCCTCCCTTTCTTGACCTTCCCTCATCTTCTGTTGCCAGACATTACGTTTACACTCGCGTCATATACTACTTATAAGTAGCGCGCACCACAATATGATTAATTTTGAAAATTTCTAGTTGTCATTATAGAGTTATAGATTGTTGAGTTTTTGTTTAAATGATAAACTGATGAATATTAGATCACCACCATGAGAAACCTGTTTCTATCTAGTCTGAAACTCATCAGTAGTGCGCATTCATGAGCGCCCCATTCAGGACCTATGGTCTTGCACGCGAACGCTTAACCTCTAGACCACTGAGCAAGCTTCTAATGGTATGAATGTCTTAACTTTCATTACCGTTCAACCTCACTCATTACCTTCGGTGGGTGACTGTCTACACTGAACAACGTTCAACTCCACTGGTAACGACGCCTTCTCACTAGAACTCAGAGAATTACCTTAAGGAGCTAGTCATTAATAAAGTGAGCCGGTAGAAAAATACTATAATGAAAAGTAAATGCTGTGGAAATTGTTAAAATTTCATTGTCAGCTGTAGGGTTAGGGGGGGGGGGCTGGTCAAAATCCTTAGACTGATCAAAGTTAGTCATTAACACTGTTGGATGCCAGCCAGTTCAGTGGTTGAAAGTTTAAGCATTCGCATATAGGTCCTGGGTTTGATTCCTGCGTTTGGCGACCGTAGATTCCGCACTTTTGGTGACTCGCATACTGTTAGATTCGTCACTAGGTACGCTTGAAGCTACAACGGTTTCACCTTAGTCGATAAACGCGGACGAGACAATGAACCAGCGTCCAGGTAAGATACCTTGATCCTAAACTGCAAAACAGAAGACTTGATAAGCGTAGAAATCATATTCTAAAAACACCCAGCAAGCACAATGCAATCAAACACACAATTCTCGTTTATTTATACATCATAGAAACGTCCTTGAGACAGTTACAAAAATAGCACACTAAAATACACAGCAGCCAAGAATTTTCCTGGTGGGAAATGAAATCTCAAGGTCAACTAACCAGCCCATGCTGGCAAACGTGAAATTCAAAACAAGGCATTTATCAAGTGAGTTCTGGGGATCTGACATCCCCAACAAATACACTGGGACGAAAAAGCCGTTCAGTGCTGCTAGATTTCTAATGCTGACCTAACAATGATCGATACAAATTTTCAATAAACTTATATTGCTGTTGAGAATTCTAGCAACATATGACACAGAAAACAAAATACATGCATCGTTGTGATACTATTGGGATAATTTGTTGTGTAATGTATGCAGAGAATTGACCAGTTTAATGGGTTTCTTTAAAAAAAAACCGCAATGTACTACTATTAATACTATTCTATTCCAAGACATGTGAAATTCGAAATGCATAGTGTACACTACTGGAGAAGTTTCAGCCTACAATGAAACAACTGCCTAGTTATTCATCGTCAATCAATCAATAGCAACGTAGAACTTCAAACCTAAGTACGTACATCAGTTCATATTGCCATACCACGTTAGCATAGAGACGTACTTGTCAATTCAAATCCCATAGTGTCAGAGATAGTAGAAGTATTAGCACTAATGGACAACAGTAGAGTTCGATGATATTATTCAAGAAGTATAATTTAGTGAAATAAACTTAAAAAGAAAAAGGTGATGAGGAATTCCGAAGGTTAGGATTTGAGAGAGCACAAAGAATGAATACATCTGCGCCATTGCAAACGGTTTTGAGCCATGTCGTTCAAGGTCTCTAACCATTGGTGACTTTCGTCTCGCGGACCCCAACCAGGTAGTCGACACCCAACCGACATGACTCAGTCCACTTGTCAGTGACTTCATGGATTTGTGCCATGTTTTGGTCAGGCCATAGTTGAGAAATGTACACTATATATTGAAAATTGAATCGATTCAATTAAAAACAACCTGTCATTCAAAATAATTCACGATTATTATTATTATTATTGTAACTCTGTGTGCACTATTCTGTTGTGATATAATGTTAAATAACAGTTAACGTCCATTTATCCACGTGCCAAGGAGTTTTTAATGGTGAAATTTTATCGAGTGAAATACATAATAACTCTGTGCGTATGTGTGTGTGTGTGCACTGGTGTGATTAAAACACTAGATTCGAATCGATTGGATAGAGAGACTGGATTTCATATTTTCGCTTATATATAAATGTCTAGTTTGATTCTCCAGTTTATTTCATTGGTATGATTGTCGAATCCTAACATTTCTGATTACTGCTGACACTGTGGTGTATGCTACTTATGTTCACATAAGTAGTATATGATGTCAAACGGAAATCAAACAAACGTCTGACAGCAAAAGATCGAGAAGGAAAGAATGAGAACAGAAGGCGCGATTTGTAGGTAACGTAAAGTGAACTGAACTGAAGTCTGAACAGTGTAAATGAAAGAACACTGAAATCTGAAACAAATAAGGATTAGTTTTCAAATGATGATTTCACGGGAAAGTTTTGTACATATGTTTAACAACTTTGTAATATTCGCTTAAATATATAGATGTTGATGTCCTCACCTGAGTTTTCGTGCACAACAACACTTCTACCACTTCTACTACTATAGGATTTGAAGTGACAATTATAATCTCTGTGTGCTAATGTGGTATGGCAAAATGAACTGATGTACGTACGTTGGAAGTTCTATGTTATTGATGTTGCTGAATGACTGACTGACTATTTCATTGATGACATATTAGTAAAAGTTTACTTAATCTGATTGTTCCTTTAAAAACATGGGACCAATCCATGTAGTCACTGACAACTGGACTGAACCATGTTAGTAGGTGTAGACTGGTTCTACGTGGTTAGGGTCCACTTGACAATCCTAACCGGTAGTTAGAAACTTTGAATGACACAACTCAAAATCGTTTGCAATATCGCAGATGTATTCATTTTTTTGACTTCTGTCAAATTCTAATCTTCTAAATTCTCCATGACTTCTTTAGAAAAAGTTTATTTCACTGGTTTGTAACTTTAGGAATCATATTACCGCATTTTAATCTTAGTGATTATCACAAATACTGTTAAAATCTCTACTACTATGGACTTGATTTTGACCAGTTTGTTACGGGTATCAGGGCGGTTGTCACTTCCCGGCTGCCCACACCGTGGAAGGGTGTTTCTTGAGGAACCTGATAAAGAAGGTAGATTAGTGATAGCCTTAACGACCCGAGAGCGCAACGGACAACTCCTTGAAGCCGATCACGTACAGCTTTCTCATGAAAGGTTTTTTAAGTATTAGCTCCGCTCTTGAAACCCCCTAGTGGGCACCCTTACCCAAGGAGACGGAAATCCGTGAGTTGGGTTGAGGTGTGAGATTTTCAAGGTCGACCTTTTCTAACCCTTCCTTCTTTGTGAGAAGGCAGCATCGCTGCAGATGCTGTCTGTCTGAGGGAAACACCTTACTACTGTCACAGCTCTCTGCAGTTAGCAGTACGACTTCGCCCTCAAAGCTTGAGTAGCTGTTTTTAGTCTCATTGTTCTCCAATCGACCTGCGTGGCATGGTTGGACCTTCAGGAGCGTATGTTCTAGCCAGTATAGCTCGGTTGGGTCATGATGATAGGCAAGCCCGACCACCACGTCACGGTAGCAGCTACGGTCGGGTCTACTACTATGGATTCTTGAGTTGATAATTTCATCTCTCTGTGCTAATGAGATATACTTACTTACTCAGGCCTGTTACTTGTAATGGAGCACTGGCCGCCGACCAGCAAATTATTTTTCTGGTTAGAGTTTTTCTAGTGAGTTGGATTTCTACCGGAAGGGGTCGCTAACCCCGTGACCAAACCTCCTACTTTATACAGGTTTGTACCAAGTTCTGCGTTGTAACTGGCTGACTGACTTTCTAGACAAATTCACAGATATTATATTAACATGTACTTCAAAAAACTTGTCTGATACTTATATGTTCGCTATGAATTACGAATAATTTACAACTGATTCATACCATTAAAATTAAAGGTATTTGTAACTATATTTGGAAGAATACACTTTTATGTTTAACTGTACTACTGAGATTGGTGAATCCTTGTGTGAGGACACCATTTGGCGTTTCTGGAAAAGTATCTAATGTTTGAGGCACATAAATCCACTGAATGAATGCGTTTTTTTGTGGGCAACCATTATCTTGGGGATCTTGGCGCACGGATGTCGCACCAAGAGCAAGTGTATGTTAAGCTCATGAGTTTTCATCCCATATATCTCGTAACATACATATAGGCGTATGCAGTTACCATAGAGGTTAGCCATACATTACATTCACACTGAGAACATAGGAGTTTCCATGATATGCGCTTACATATATACACCATTAAGCCACGACTCGAGCACAACCCACCGCAGCAACTCAATCTGGTTATCTACACCGGACTAGGCTATATACACCCCCGACCGTAGCTGCTACCTTGACGTGGTGATCGAGCTTGCCTATCGTGATGACCCAACAGAGTTATAATGGCTGGAACATATGTTCCTGCAGGTCCTACCATGCCAGGCTGGTCGATTGGAGAACGATGAGACTAAAAGCAGCTACTCAAGGTCTGAGGGCGAAGTCGTACTGCTGACTGACTGCAGAGGGGTGTGACAGCAGTAAGGTGTTTCCCTCGCATAACCAGCATATGCAGCGATGCTGCCTTCTTGCAAGGAAGGAAGGGATTAAAAAAGGTCAACCCTAAAAATGTCACACCTCACCTTACCTCACTGATTTCCGTCCCCGGCGATAGGGGTAGCCTAACAAGGGCTAAAAACCTCACATAGAAAGGCCGTGTGTGACCGGCCTCAAGCAGTTGTCCCTTGGTCTTTGCGGTCACGCACCCAGGTCTCCAAGACCAACACCAATCTACCATCCTTTTCAGGTTCCTCAAGAAACAACCTTCCACGGTGTGGGCAGCCGGGAAGTGACAAACGCCCTTATACTCGTAACATATATACACCGAATTTCACAGGGTTGATATAGTTGCCACTTTCATAAATCTCAGTGGATGATGGCAAAAGAAAAATTGTAAACTTACTTTACCGAAATTCTTTTTAATTCATTCATTCAGTCATATTGATGAATAAATACGTTAGTGTGTGTAATCAAGTTGTAAATTAAAATGAATTGAATAAAAACAAACAAACTATGATTTCTTTTTTTGTTGTTGTTTTGGTATGAATTTCAGTTCATATATTTCAATGATTGAAAGCAATTAATAACTAACTAATTAATTAATTAAATAACTAATTGTCCAATAAAATTGATCACTATTATTTTTTTTTGAATTTTAGATAAATTTATTGATGTTTTTTTTTTAAAAAAATGGTTCAATAGAAAAAAAAGGGGAAATTAGTAAACAAATTCGAAAAAGTTTTCATTTTGTGGTAAACTTTGGATAAATGTGGTTAGTCAGTCAGTTAGTCAGATGCAACGTAGAACTTCGTACGTAAGTACATCAGTTCATGTTGCCATACCACATCAGCACACAGAGATATGCAACTGTCAATTCAAATCCAATAGTAGAAGAGGTAGTAAAGGTATTAGAAGTAATCGTAGACGTTAGAATTAGAGGATATTATTCACGAAGTATGATTCAATGAGATAAGCTTAGGAAGACAAAACTGGAGGTGTTAAAGAATCCAGAAGATTAGGATTTGAGAGAACACAAAGAATAAATGCACCGGCGCCATTGCGAACGATTTTGAGCCATGTCGTTCAAGGTCTCTAACCATCGATTATTATCATCTCGCGGACCTCAACCAGGTAGTCGACAATTACCGACATGGCTAAGTCCACTTGTCAGTGACTTCATGGATTTTTGCCATGTTTTCGTTTGGCCGCCCCTACCTCTCTTCCAACCTACTCCTACACCACAAAACATAGCTCATTGAGGCAGTTGGTGGTTAGGCATACGCAACACATGTCCTAACCACCTCAACTGATGAAGTTTCACCACTTCATCTATTGATCTGCCATTCTTACCTAGCACCCGTTTCTTAATAACAGCGTTGCTCACTCGGATGTCCCAGGATACATGTAGTTAAGATAAGAATAAAAAATAATATAAAATAATTTCATATAGAATAGTGGATATATGAAATGGATTACAAAGTCACTGAGGACAAGTGGACTAAGTCATGTTAGTTAGGGTCCACGAGACGAAAGTCAACAATGGTTAGAGATCTTGAACAATAACATGACTCAAAATTGTTTGCAATGGCGGAAGTGCATCCATTCATTGTACTCTCTCAAATCCTAATCTTATGGAATCGTCTGCACCTCTACGCCTTTGTCTTTCTAATCTTATCTCACTCACTGAATTATACTTCTTGAATAATATGTTCAAACCCTAGTCTTCTTCATTACCATTAATACCTGTACACTATCTTTATCACTATGGGATTTGATTTGACATTTGCGTCTCTGTGTTAATAATGTGGTATGGCAACATGAACTTATGTACCTACGTAAGAAGTTCTACGTTGCAACTGACTGAGAAAAGTAAATATATTTGGTTAGATTAAACAACAAGATTATGTGAAGTAAATTGGAGATAAGAGATGACTGTATGTAAAGAGCAGGAGCATAGCTGCTACCTTGACATGGTGGTTGTGTTTGCTTGTCGTGATGACCCAACTGAGATATATTGGCTGGAACCTTTGTTCCTGTAGATCCTACCATGCCAGGGTGGTCGATTAGAGAACGGTTAGACTAAAAGCAGAAACTTAAAGTCTAAGAGTGAAGTAGTACTGCTGACTGTCAAGGAGTGTGACAGCAGTACGGTGTTTCCGTCGGATGCAGCGATGCTGTCTTCTCATAAGGAAGAAAGCGGTTAGGAAAGGTCAACCCTAAAAATGTTACACCTCACCTTATCCCAGGAAATTTCGTCTCCCGCTGAAAGTGACTCTTTTAGAGCGAAGAGCTAACACATTAAAAATTTCCCGTAAGAAGCCCGTGTGTAACTGGTCCTAAGCAGTTATCCCTGGGGCTCTGCGGTCACGCATCCAGGTCGCTAAGATCAACACTAATCTACCTTCCTTTTCACGTCCCGCAAGAAACACCCTTCCACGGTATCAGCAACTGGGAAGTGACATCCACCTTCATATTCGTAACACAATACACGAGATTAATTAAGTCACAATCAAATCACTGATTGAGATAAAAAGTGGAAATTGTAGCTTATTGAGGAAAAACAAGTTTTATGCATTTGATTTAACGCTACAAACTATTTGAAGGTAATGAAGAAGGGTTCCATTGTCCGATATACCGGTTGAAAGCCGAATAAATGGTAGGAAGTATTTGACAATGAATTTGAAGAATAGTGGTTACATCACACTAAGGAATTTCAAATTGTAATCTTATCGACAAGGCATTATTTAGGAGAGCAAAGCGAAGTTATACAAAAACAAGTCGATTGTGCTTAATGTTACAAAGTGGTATAATTTCGAGACTGAAAGTGATTGATTATGTAACTTAACAAGGATGTTTCTTTGTCATCAAATGTTTCGGTACGATGAAGAGTTCCCTCTGCTTGTCGAAATTCCCCCATAAAGCCCAAGTGACAGGGAAGTTCTGCCCAGTGCCTTCTCGTTGCAGCGGTATTGTTTACAAAATTGAAACTACGAAAAGTGTCTGGCACTTTGACCAGGTCTGTGTGAATAGAGGATCCACTTAGGGGGTTCGAGGACCCTGACGTCAAACTAATAGTGCATATGGACTCCAGGGTCACGATGAAACAAATAGCGTATGAATCTATTGTCGCTGGTGACTGGCTACCGTAAGACTGCATCTTGTTACGTTGCTACACTATTTCGTGGATTAGAAGTTTTGGGTTAAAGGCTCGAGAAGTGGCTCGTTAAGAAAAACCGCCTAGTTCAATTTTGACACTCCAGCAATATCTCGTTCCAATCACATAAAGCCACGCGTGTATAGCCCATGACAGTGAAGTTCTTTCTACTCACTGCCTTCTTGTTGCATCGGTGTTGTTTACTATATGGAGACAACGAAAAGTAAGTATCCGGTATTATAACCTGGTTAATGGGAATGGAGGATAAAGTTAGTAAAAGTTGGAGAGCCCTAAATCTAAACTAACAGCAGTGTAAGCATGGACTCCAGAATTGCGATGAAAGTAAAATAGCGTATGAATCTTCTACTGATGTTGGCAACTGGCTATCATGAGATTGCATCATATTACATTGTTCCACTGTTTTGTGGACTAAATGTTTTGGGTTAAAAGGCTCAAAAAGTGACGACTCGTTGACACTTAAACATTTATACCTATTTCAATCACATACATATACAAAACCAAAGAAAAAAAACCCCCACAAATAATTTACAACTTACCATTAATGTATTAATAGCATATGTTATACAATGACAATTATTTTCATTGGCTTCTAAATCAATTCTATAGAAACTTGATTCTTGATATGCTAAACGTGGTAAAACACTAGCAATAAATACAATTAATAAACAAGCAATATGATATTCTAATTCTTGATATGATAACATACTACTAGTAATTCCATTCATAGTAGTATTAGTAGCAGAAGTAGGAGTAGAAGTGTTTTGATGATGATGATGATTCATAGGAGGCAGACCAGTTGGATTCACTGTAGCCAATGCTGTAATACGTCGATTATTAATAATTGAACATAAATTATAATCTAAATCAGATGTAATTCCAACAGAAGCACATAGATTGTTTAAAATTAATTGTTCATTAAAATGTGCATAGATATATTCCATTTCATGATGATTGTGATTATTTTCGATTGATTGTGCTTGATTATGTGATTTATTAGTGATAATATAATCACGTAGATTATGTACAGTGTCCAATAGAAATGGTGTACGTTTCTTGAATGAAAAACAAACACACACAGAGAAAAAAACAAACAAGTGAAAAATGATGAATATCATTAGAGTTATGTTATGAATAGTGTATAGCGGTTTCACTATTGAACTTCGTTCAATGTAGACATGAATGATTGAGTGTGCAATGAGATTAAAAAGCAGCTACGCAAGGTCTGAAGGCGAAGTCGTACTGCTGACTGACTGTGATGGAGGGGTGTGACAGCACAGTAAGGTGTTTCCCTCGGACAACCAGCATCTACAGCGATGCTGCCTTCTAACAAGGAAGGGAGGGGTTAGAAAAGGTCGACCCTAAAAATGACACACCTCATCCTAACTCACGGATTTCCGTCTGCGGCGGTAAGGGTGACCACTAAGGGCTTTCAAGAACGGAGCTAACACTCAAAAAACGTCTCATGAAAAGGTCGTTCGTGACCGGCCTGAAGCAGTTGTCCCTTGGGCTCTGCGGTCACGCACCCAGGTATCCAAGACCAACGCTAATATACCTTTCTTTTCAGGTTCCTCAAGAAATAACCTTCCACGGTGTGGGTAGCCGGGAAGTGACAACCGCCCTCATACTCGTAACAGCACACGAGACCGAATTGGTCAAAATCAAATCCTTCCTACACCCACCTCTTTTCTCCACGACTAACTCTTCTCACATTCATTTATCACAGTGCACGTTGAAACTGACTGACTGTGTGCAATGAAATAAATCTTACTAACCACTAACGTATATCACATACTTAGGCTAACCCTGTTTGTGCGATCGTAGTAATGAAAACGTCGAATACGGTGTTGTGGATGAATTCACTTCATGCATTCACTTATGCAGACAAACATAAGAAGGGAAGCGTACGAACAAAACGAAACGAATCGGAGAAGGCGAGTGAGCCAACTCTCTAATTCGCTTCGTTTTGCTCGTACGCTTCCCTTCTCATGTTTGTCTGCATAAATGAACTCATGAAGTGAATTCATCCACAATACCGTATTCGACGTTTTTATTACTACGATCGCACAAACAGGGTTAGCCTAAGTATGTGATATACGGTAGTGGATAGTAAGATTTATTTCATTGCACATTCGATCATTCGTGTCTACATTGTTGAAGTTCAGTAGTGAGCCGGTAAAAATGGTGAAACCGACGTGATAATCGAGTATGTATTCACACACAATCAAGTATCATATAACCGATACTGTAATCGAATTATTTCTACAAATAGCAAAATTATGATCGATACAATTATCGAGTAATTTCAACGAAAGTACAACGAATGAATGTTGAGATGCTACAAGTGTTACTGTCAGTCAGTCAGATGCAACATAGAACTTCGTACGTAAGTACATCAGTTCATGTTGCCATACCACATCAGCACAGATATATAATTGTTAATTCAAATCCAATAGTAGAAGAGGTAGTAAAGGAATTAGAAGAAATCAGAGAGATTAGGATTAGAAGATATTATTCAAAAAGTATGATTCAGGGTCTCTAACCATCGATTATCATCTAGCGGACCCCAACCAGGTAGTCGACAACTACCGACATGGCTAAGTCCACTTGTCAATGACTTCATGGATTTCTGCCATGTTTTGGTTTGGCCGCCCCTAACTTTCTTCCAACCTATTCCTACACTACAAAACAAAGCTCGACGAGGCAGTCGGTGGTTAGGCATACGCAGCAGATGTCCCAACCACCTCAACTGATAAAGTTAGACATTAACACTGTTGGATGCTACTGTCTCAGTGGTCTCTAGGCTAACTGTTCACATGAGAGACCGACAGTCCTCAGTTCGATTCCTATGAGTGTGGGTCGTGGATGTACACTACCACTGAAGAGTCTCCTACCAGGACGAAACAGTTATCCAGTGCTTCCAGGTTTCTCAACGGTGGTGTGTCTAACATTGACTGATTCATGATTTCAACATAAAATAGTGTTATTGAATTTAGTGATTAAGTTATGTGGTTAATATTTCTCTTAATTAGCATCTAGGATGTCCCTAGTTCATCTGACAACCTATCCAATCTTACATAGGATGGCAAATCAATAGATGAAGCATTGGAACTTCATCAGTTGAGGTGGTTGGGACATGTGTTACGTATGGCTAACCACCGACTGCCTCAAAGAGCTATGATTTAGAGTGTAGGAGTAGGTTGGAAGAAAGTCACTGACAAGTGGACTGAGTGATGTTGGTAGATGTAGGCTACATGGTTGGGGTCCGCGAGACGATAGTCACTGATGGTTAGAGACCTTGAACGACATGGCTCAGAATCGTTTGCAATGGCGCATGTGCATCCACTCTTTGTGTGTTTTTAATCCTAACCTTCTGGATTCTTCAACCCCTCTAGTTCTGTCTTTCCAAACTTTTCTCACTGAATTACACGTCTCGAAGCATATCTTCGCTCCCTAATCTTCTCCATTACTGCTAATACTTCTACTATCACTATCACTCTTGGATTTGAACTGAAAGTTACGTTATGTGGTATGGCAACCTGAACTGATGTACTTATGTACGAAGTCCTGCATTGTATCTGTCTGTCTATCTGTCCAATCTTACATAATCTATTTCTTTATCCAAAACGTAAGTTGTACGTTTGAATGACTCAACAGTCTATTGACTATAGTAAGTATCGAATCATAACAGTTTGTACTGTTATTGAAATATGAAACTTTTCAAACAGCACAAACTATCTGGAAAAAAAGAGCATTTCATCACCAACTTCCATTATGTCAACGGTTAATTTGTTCTAACTTCTTACAAGTAAAATACCATAATACCAAAACAGAATGAAATAAAAGTTGTTTTTATTTTGATCGGAACATTTGTTAATTTTATCTCATAAACAAATCTTTATTATAGTTAAGAGTTAGTCAGTTAATCAGTCAGTCAGCTGCGATGTAGAATTCGGTACATACATACATTTGCATACATGAGAGTAATATGAGATTATTATTGTTGCGACGATGTTTAACACTCTCTACATAAAACTGTTTATTCACTGAGTATTTTATCAGCTTCGTTCTTGTAAATTTGAACTTATGTTTGCATCAACAGTTACACAATTTATCACATGTTATGGATGCTCACTGTTGATCACAAGGCATACTAGGGACCAAGTCGCCGTCTAGTGATTCCAGCTTTCTCAATGGTGATGTGCCTAACATTGATCGATTCATCAAAACTCTAGTATAATAACAATTGTCATGTGCTAATTAGTGACTAGTTTCATGAAATGATTCTCGGAGCTCTAGCGAGAAGCTGTGACTACTGGAATTCAACTTTTTTCGGGTGTAAGTCAATTATTCACCGAAGATATCGTGGACTGACTGAATTTACACCTGAACACCACTGAATGCCGGTTAAATGATCAAGGGAGGAAGCGTTGACACACGGGATTCAAGGTCTTGAGCTCGATTCCTAGATATGGGGTTATGGATACGCATTGCTGATGAGTTTTATGAATTTACTAGCGTTTCAGTGTTAAATTTTATAACCTACTTTCAAAGGATATTATAGACACATGATTAGTAGGCATGCAACTGTAGCTGCTACCTTGACATGGTGGTCGGTCATGATGACCCAACTGAGCTATTATTGGCTGAAACAAATGTTCCTTTAGGTTTTATCAAGCCAGACAGGTCGATTGGAGAACGGTGAGACTAAGTGCGGCAGCTCAAGGTCTGAGGGCGTTTCCACTGTTTAGTTGTTCAAATTCAATAGCTTTTTTGTGATTAAAATTTAAATTTCAAAATGGCTGAGACTAAACACAGATGTAACGGCATTCCAGTAATCCACTGAAAAGATAAACTACATAAAAGGCATCAATAATGTGTGTTAGTGGGACATAGATGGAATTAAAGCATGACTACGTTGGCTGCGCGCTGATTGGCTAATTTCCTATCTAATCAGCGCCTGATCGCCTCTTGGAGAACAGGGTAGAAAATTCTCGTGTTGTTAGCTGCACACTGATTGGCTAAATCTAATCCAATCGATTACGTGAATTACTACTATCCAGAAGCTTCTCATGTAAATACTATAATGAAACTAACGTTGTATCTATTTTTGGCCTTCGCCTTCGGCTTCATATTTCCATTTAACCTTGCTATTTGGAATATAATCTTTTTCCAGTTCCACCGTGTTCTTGATTCTTTGGAACACTTGTCCAGTGTATTTTGTGGTCAGAGAATACACTAAGCAATAGGAATCAGCTGGGAATTATTCAAGGAAGCGTTACAACAATGTGACACATAAACACACACACACACACCCACAAGCACACACCGACACACAATAAACACTTACTTGTAGTACAGTATGTACAGCTTCAAAGCATAATTTACGAAAAGCAAGTGCTATCCCGATTTCTTTTAACAAAATCAATAATTGATCACCATGTTGTAAATTTCCATTCAATTGTCTAGTTCTCATTGGATCATGAATACATTCACGTAAACATTCTAGTGTGCCACGATTTTGACGAACTAATTTATTGATCTCATCAATACGATCACCCACCGTATGCATTAAACGATCACAAATAAATTTTATGCCTAATGGACCTGTTATTGAAAAAATATGAATGAAAGTGGAAATTAATCAAAGTAAGTGTTCACATAACAACAGATCAGTCAATTAATCAGTCAGTCAGCTACAACCTAGAACTTGGTACGTACGTACGTAGGTACGTACATTAGTTCAAGTCGCCATACCACGATAGCACACAGAGATGCGATTGTCGATTCAAATCCCATTGTAGTAGAGGTGGTAGAAGTATGAGCAGTAATCGGAGGGCTTACAGTTCGAAGATATTATTCAAGGAGTATAATCTAGATTATAACTTGGTAAAACACAAAGAGCGTATGCATCAGCGCCATTTCAAACAATTTTGAGCCACGTCATTTAAAGTATTTAACCATCGGTTACCATCTCTTGCGGACCACAACCAGGTAGTCTACATCTACCAACATGACTCAGTCCAGTTGTCGGTGATTTCATGGATTTGTGCCATTATTCGGGACGTCAGATACTCAGAACTCATTTGATGAAGGTCTTAATTTCGGATTTTATTCATGGGCTGATCAGTTGACCTTGAGATTACATTTACCACCTGGGAAATCCCTGACTGTCATTGATTGATGTGTTATTTTAGTAAGCTATTTTTGTTTAAATAAACTCGATTTGTATGCTTGTAGAATATACTTTCTACGCCATATCAAGACTTTTGATATCGTTAGTAGGGCCAGGAGAAATGGAATGGGAATAGCCTATCGTGTCACTGGATAAATTGTCTTCACTCTCGTTTACTGACTAAGATGAACTCGTAATAGTTTAAGGCAAATCAGCCGTGTTTTGGTCTGTCCGCCCCTAACTTTCTTCCAACCTACCCATACACTACAAAACATCGCATCACATAACAAACAGTAGGAACATTCCGAATGATATTAGTTAAGCTAATAATATGTATCGATCGATAAGTCAGTTATAATTAACGCAGAACCTAGTTACAAACATGTATCAGATCAAATCAATCACCTTATTAAATCACGATACATAAGGTCAAATTAGTAACGAGAAAAATTAACATTAAGAATGAGGCTGGAAAAGATGTACGTGAAAGAATACTGAAACTTAAGAACTAACAGAAGATCACGATTAAGTGCATGTGTCACTGTAATCGCCTTTTTAGACATATTATGATGGATGCTACTCACAAAATGGTATATAAGTAGTATGCAGAGTGAGGAGTGTCTGGATATCGAAACGCATAGCATGATTAGATTATATTGAAGACGATCAATAACTCGCTTGTACCACAGATAGATGTTTGAAGATTGCATGTACATATCAATAAACTGTCTTCTCCGAATAACATATATGTTCACATCGATATATATATATCATTCCTATTGACACTTCCTGATATGCTCGATCTATCACGTGTTCACCTTACTCGGTGAAAGAAACGAAGATCAATGAATCAGTGACGCGATAAGCTGCTCTAATCCGATCGTCCCAAGCCCTAACAACTAGAGGAAGAAGTCTTGATGTATTCCACAGGCACCCATAAGGTCTACAAGCACACAACTCAAGCTTATTTATACAACTGATAAAACGCCCTTGGTGAGAGCCACAAAATAACTCACTAAAATAATCCATCAACCAGTGACAGTCAAAGACCTCCTGAGTGGGAAAAGCAGGCTGAAGGTCAAAATGAGCATCTTTAGCGCGAAAACGTAAAATTCAAAATAAAATTACACAATTAGGACCTTTTCCAAGTGACTTCTAGAGATCTAACGTCCCCAACACTTCTTCATAGAATTAATCTTTGCAATATCTTATATATCAGGATTTTCAATACAAATGTCAATACAGTTCTACTGTATGGAGCGGAAACTTCGAGAACTTCCAAAGCCATCATCCAGAAGATACAAGTGTTTATTAACAGTTGTCTACGCAAAATACTTCGGATTCGTTGGCCAGACACGATCTGCAGCAACCTACTGTGAGAGAGAACAAACTAGATTCCAGTGGAGGAGGAAATCAGGAAGAATCGGTGGAAGTGGATAGGACACACACTACAAAAGGCACCGAACTGTGTGACAAGACAAGCCCTTACATGGAACTCTCAAGGTCAAAGGAAAAGAGGAAGGCCAAATAACACATTACACCGAAAAATAGAGAAAGACATGAGAAGAATGAACGAAAACTGGTTATTTGCCTATGCTCCATTGGAGGTAACAGGCGCAAGTAAGTAAGTAATTTCTTATATATATATATAAATAATTAAACGGTATGATGATAAATTTGTTAGAAAGTGATCGCTTCGTAGAGTTAAATATTCTCAACAATCAGAATACACGAATCTCATATTGTGTTGTTATTGAAAATCATGGGTGTCTTACTTACTTACGCCTATTACCCTTAATAGAGCATAGACTGTCAACCAGGATTCGCCAACCAACTCTGTCCTGCGCTTTCCTTTCCAGTTCTTCCCAATAACTATTTATTCACTTCACGTCTGTCTCCAAATTACTGCCAAATGTGTTCTATGATCTACCTCTGTGTTCCTTTCACCCTGAAGATTCCAAGTTACCACTTGCTTTGTGGCGCAGTTGAGAGACTTTTACAGTAAGTGCTATCCATTTGCAGCTCTTTTTCCTAATTTTGTCCTCAGCTGCAGTCTAGTCTATTGTGATGGTGTCTAACCAACAGATGGAGGAGTATTTAGCGTAGACAACTGTTTATAAATACTTGTATCTTTGGTAGTTGTTCTTCAAGCTTCCAAACCATTCCATCAATCAGTGTTTTTCGTCATTTGTATTGAAAATTCCAACTTCAATGTTGGTTGTTTTAAGTTTCCGATATTCTTTAATTAACTGTTAGTTCCTCGAAATGTGTTTTTTGGGACGTTAGATCTCCAGAACTCGCTTGATAAATGCCTTAATTTTGAATTTCATGTTTGCCAGCATGGGCTGATCAGTTGACCTTGAGAATTCATTTCCCGCCAGGGAAATCCATGGCTGTGATTAACTGCTGTATCATTTTAGTGTGCTATTTTTGTGACTGTCCCAAAGACGTTTCGATGATGCATAAATAAACCAGAGTTGTGTGCTTGATTGTAATCGTGATTGCTGGGTGTTTGTAGAATATACTTTGTTGTAACGCTGCTACGTATAGTTTTTCAGTCCTAACGGTGTCCAATTCAAATATCCCAATACGACCCAAAATACTATTTCCAAATCTCCTATATATCAAAATGCAACACCGTGGAAGTTGTCGAATACAGAAGAAGAGGTAGGCAGGGGAAACGGAATTATTAAGTTTTTCAGATAGTGCGTATTTATACACTAAGGTCGAATAAGAAAGAGCATCAACGTCTGTGACATTGACAGTTTAGGACGACGACCAATAGAAAAGAACATTTGTAATGACATTGACAGTCCAAATGACCAATAAAAAGCAACATTGAAGTATTTGACCTTGACGGTTAGAACGATCATAATTTCGGCCAATAGGATTGTACTTCTAAAAATAGTATTCTTAGGATATTCGGTGAATATCCTAGCATACTTTCTATGCGATATCAAGACTTCTCTCTTTAGCCGTTACAAGTGAACGGATTAAGGTAGCCTACTTGGACGCTGGTTCATTGTCTAGTTCGCGTTTATGGACTAAGGTGAACCCGCAATCGTTTTAACAACAACGACAACAACCAGAACACATGTCACTACCTACTTACTGACTTACCAATAAGTTCTGTTAAAGCAATCAATTCATTTAAATCAGCATAATCTTCCACACGAAATTTCACTACATCTGGTGATACCAGAGTGACAAAACTTTTCAATAATGGTGAATAAATAAAATGATCCATATAAGCATGTTTTAAAATAGTTTCCAAATACCATTCAGCATAATGTGCTGTCATGGTTAATTGTCCCTAAGAGAGAGAGAGAGAAAAAAAAAAGTCAGGAGAAAAACAAACTTAAAGATAAACTGATGTAGTATTTCAAGAAATAATTATCTTACATAAATAATTGTTTAAGCTTGTATGATAATATAAGCTTGTGGAGATTGGTGAGTTACTACTACTAGTTTTATTGAAATCAAAAATCGATCAATGTTACGTCACCATTAGAAATCTGAAAGCACTGGATGGCCGTTCGGTCTTAGTAGGTGACTTAAAAGCAGTGCACATCTATGACCCTTGAAGGTGGGAATCGAACCGAGGATCTTCAGCCTCGCGTACCCACTAGTGACCGGCGTTTCGGAGTTCTACTGGGAAGTTGTGACTAGTGGAAATCAATTGTGTCGGATGTGAGCCGTTTACCCACCGAAGACAATGAATGATGGTAGCGTAGTTAGACATGAACACCATCGGATGCTACCGGATCACTGGTCAGAGTTCGGACGTGAGATTGAAGGTCCTGGGTTCAATCCCCATATATTTTTATGGGTTATTGATTGATTAAACATGATTGTCTTGTGGAATACGTCTATAAATGACATTGAAACAGTTAGAAATCAATATCTTTAAGTATAGTAAGTACTATGAATTAATACATTTGAAATCAATTCTATAAGACCAGTAAGAATAAGTTTGTACATTTACAGTTAGAAATGTATAGATTAAGTGATCATATTATAATGTTCAGTCAGTCAGTTACACCGTAGAACTTCGTATATACGTAAATCCGTTCAGGTTGCCATAACACAGAGAGATGGAATTGTTAATTTAAAACCCATAGTAGAGATAGTAGGCGTATTAGCGGTAATATGATAAATTAGGCTTCGAGGATCTTATTAAGGAAGTATATTCTAGTGAAAAAGATAAAAGTGCTGAGGAATTCAGTAGGTTAGGATTTGAGAGAACAGAAGGACTGGATGCACCTGCGCCATTGCAAACGATTTTGAGCCATGTCATTCAAGGTCTGTCACCACCGATTAGTATTATCTCGCGGAACCCAACCAGGTAGTCTACATCTACCAACATGGCTCAGTCCAGTTGTCAATGACTTCATGGATTTGTGCCATGTTTTGGCTGCCCCCTAAGCATTCATTCAGCCCACCCCTACACCATAAAACATAGTTCTTGAAGGCAGTCAGTGGCTGGACATTCGTAATACAAGTCCCAACATCATATGGACTCAGTAGCTAGCTGGATCACGTGATGACATTTGAAGCAAACGATACTGGGGGTCCAAGTCCCACAGTGAATATAACCAATTACTCTAAAATGTAACTGGTAATATTCAGCTACAGATGAGTCCCAAATAGGACGAAATAGGACGTGCCCTGAACTCCACTATTAACCATAACTCTATGTAAACTTAAACCATTTTTATAATTGAAAAATTGATCACATAAATCAATACACTTACACGAAATGCATCCACTGGTTGTGTATGTTGAGTAAAAACAACAGAAAACACTCCAATCACATCAATACAAACATGATTTTCCAAATCAATCAGGGCATTCATTAATGCTCGTACACGTCGTAATAACTCAGATGGTTTAGAAGCAAGTAGTGATTCATTTGTTGAGGTATGATCATGAGAACTAGGATGAAAATAAAAAAAACACCAGTTTTCTTGAGAAAAAAAACTTGATTTTCAATTTATTGTAAGCTGTAAATTCTAATTCTAATTGTATTAACAAATCAATTTGAAAAAAAGTGAAACAATTCTAACTACTACTACTTCTACTGTGGTATATGACGCGAGTAAAAACGTAATGTCTGGCAGCAGAAGATGGGGGAAGAACAAGAAAGGAAGAGTGGGAACACAATGGAATTTGCATGAAACGCATGAATAGTGACAATGGATCGATGTTTTGCAACAGGAACAGTCCAGTTCGATATGATGAACTAATATTTTGCAAATGAACGATTTACGATATGGTTTTCCAATTTTACTGAGTAACTCTGTAATTTGCGTTAAATACAATTCGGTTGCCCCCCATGTGTTCTCGTTCACTACATTTGGTGTCGCTGCCTGCTGGAAGGAAGGAGCTCCCGTGGCCGAAGGAGTTGGAGGACGGAGATTTGCGGAGCTTCCTGTAGGAGGCCGCGGTGGAGCTGGTGGGTGTGAAGGGGCCCGGGGCGGAGTTGGCGGTGCTGGGGACGCTGCGGGGAGGTGAGGCGAAGGCGGTATACGACAGCCTGAACGGTGCCGCCGGGAAGACGGTCACCGGGCGGCTGATGACGGGGTTTGACAGCCCGGTGGACAGGGAGGAGGCGCCGCACAGGTTCCGGTTGGTGATACTGTCGGCTGACAGTGACCCGTTGGTGCTGGCTGTGGAGCTCACGATGTTGCTGCGCCGTACGCTGCCGAGTATGATTGGGGAGTCGGAGGCACAGTTGTTGACGTCGCAATTTATCGAGAGTGTGCCTGCCGCCGTATTCCAGCAGCGGGAACTAGTAAACGCTACACGTTTTGACAGATGCCGTACCCATTCCAGACCAGCAGGCAAGAACAATGACGGAAGTAGTAATCCGGCATATTGTAGCGTGTCACGGAATACGGAAGGTGATATTAACTGACCAGGGTCCCTGTTTTGAAAGACTACGACGACAGCTTATTAAAAGGGGGGATGAGTGTGGTGCGAGCTACTTATAAGTAGTATATGACGTGAGTGAAAAAACGTAATGTCTGGCAGCAGAAGATGAAGGAAGAAGATCAAGAAAGGAAGAGTGGGAACACAATGGAATTTGTATGAAACGCATGAATAGTGAAATGTCAGACAATCGATTGATGTTTTGCAAATTAACGGTTTACGATATGGTTTTCCTATTTTACCAATTAACTCTGTAATTTGCCCTCACCTGTGTTCTCCTTCACTACACTACTACTACTACTACCAATACTACTACTACTACACACACTACTACTACTACTACTACTGTAGTGAACGAGAACACAGGTGGGGCAACCGAATTGTATTTAACGGAAAATTACAGAGTTACTCAGTAAAATTGGAAAACCATATCGTAAATCGTTCATTTGCAAAATAACAGTTCATCATAGCGAACTGGACTGTTCCTGTTGCAAAACATCAATCCATTGTCACTACTATTCATGCGTTTCATACAAATTCCATTGTGTTCTTCTAACTCTTCCTTTCTTGATCTGCCCCCATCTTCTGCTGCCAGACATTACGTTTTTTCACTCACGTCATATACTACTTATAAGTAGCGCGCACCACACTACTACTACACACACACTACTACTACTACCAACAACCTCATAATCAATAATTACCAATTAAATACAGTGGAATTCTATATGTTTATTTATATTTTTTTTTAACTGGTTCAATTTATAATCTAATGATAAGTTACGTAACTTGAATGAATAAACATTGATTCGTGATGTATCAATTTAGTGTGTTATTTCTAATTGTATTAACGCATATATAAATATATATGTAAAACCGAGAGTATGTATTTGTTCAACGAAAGAAATGTACAATAAAAAAAATGATTTTAAAAGGGTAATTTGTATTTGTGATTTAATTGTGACCGATTCGATAGGTCTCACATGCTGCTGTTTTACGGGCGGATGTCACTTCCTGGCTGCCAACACCGTCAAAAGGTGTTTCTAGAAGAACCTGAAAAAGAAGGTAGATTAGTGTTGGTCTTAGCGACCTAGGAGCGTGACCGCAGAGCCCAAGCGAAAACTGTTATAATGCTGCTACGTGTTAGTGGGACACAGATGGAATTAAAGCATGACTACGTTGCTACGCGCTGATTGGCTAATTTCCTAATCCAATCAGCGGCCCGATCGACTCTTGGAGAACAGGGTAGAAAATTCTCGTATTGTTAGCTGCGTGCTGATTGGTTAAATCTAATCCATTCGATCACGTGGATTTCTATCCAGAAGCTTCTCATGTAAATGCTATAAATAAACTAACGTATCTATTTTTGCCTTCTTCGGCTCTTATTCCATTTAACCTTTTCTATTTGGAATATAATCTTTCCCTGTTCAACCGTGTTTCGATTCTTGGGAGCTTGTCCAGTGTATTGTGGTCAGAGAATACTAAGCAATAGGACTTAGCTGGGAATTATCTAAGCAAGCGTTACAACACTACGTATAGCTATTCAGTCCTAGCAGTGTCCAAATTCAAATATCCCAATACAACCCTAAATACTATTTCCAAATCTCCTATATCAGTCAGTCAGTTGCAACGTAGAACTTCGTACGTATGTACATAAGTTCATGTTGCCATACCACATTATTAGCACAGACACGTAAATGTCAAATCATATCCCATAGTGATAAAGATAGTAGAGGTATTAATATTATAATAAAGAAGACTAGGGTTTAAGATATTATTCAAAAAATATAATTCAGTGAGATAAGGTTAGAAAGACAAAGATAGTGGTGCTGGCTAATCCAGAAGAATAGGATTTGAGAGAGCTCAAAGAGTGGATGCACCTGCGCCATTGCAAACGATTTTGAGCCATGTCGTTCAAGGTCTCTAACCATTGATGACTTTCGTCTCGCGGACCCCAACCAGGTAGTCTACATCTACCAACATCACTCAGTCCACTTGTCAGTGACTTCATGGATTTCTGCCATGTTTTGATCTGGCCGCCCCTAGCTTTCTTCCAACCTACTCCTACACCACAAAACATAGCTCGTCGAGGCAGTCGGTGGTTAGGCATACGTAACACATGTCCCAACCACCTCAACTGATGAAGTTTCACCACTTCATCGATCGATCTGCCATTCTTACCTAGTATTCGTTTCCTAACGACAGCATTGCTTACTCGGTTGTCCCACGATATACGAGCAATGCTTCTTAAACATCTATGATCGAATACTAGTAACCTACGAACATCTTCTACTCTTAACGGCCATGTTTCACAGCCATATAAGAGAACGGAGCGAACTGCTGCGCAGTACACCCGCCCTTTGGTTAGCGAACGGATATCACGCCTACGCCATAAGTGACGCAGGTTGGCAAAAGCCAATCGAGCTTTCTGTATCCGAGCTGAGATTTCGTCAGTCACCAGACCGTCAGCACTGATGAGACTCCCCAGATAAGTGAAGTGATCTACACGCTCGACTACTTCACTCCCTATCACTAGTTCAGGTGCCGAAGCAACCCAGTCTTGAAGCAACATTTTGCATTTCGAGGGGGAAAACCGCATCCCGAACATGCTCGCATTGTTGCTTATGGTAGTCAGAAGACTGCATTTTGTCAGCGTCTTCACCAAGTAGGACTATGTCATTGACATATTCTAAGTCAGCAAGCGTGGCTCCTGGTAAAAGGTCTACTCCTGAAAATTCAGAAGACGATAAGGTTGTATCTAAAAGCGTGTCTTTGAAAAGAAAGACAGAAAGATACAACGCAGAACTTCCTACGTACGTACATCAGTTCAGGTTGCCATGCCCCATCAGCACAGAGACGCAACTGTCAGTTCAAATCCAAGATGTCTTTGACAAAATTAAACACGAATAGAGAAAGTGAACATCCCTGACAGACACCACTTGAAGTAGGAGGCGGACACCGAGGAGAATGAAACAAAAATTGGATAGAACTAAGGAGAAAGGCCCAAAACACAGTAAGTTGAAGAATGCTGGTCGGCGACCTATGCTCGACTAGGGGTACACAGGCATAATAAATAAGTCCAATGCTATTGGTTCACTGAACACAACTAGGAAAGGCAAAAACTTGACAGTTTTGAAGCATACAAAAAAAAACACTATATTAATCAGTTATAATCTCATGGCATACATGTAAATGTATATTATATTACAAACAACAAATGTATACAACAAGAAAAACTTTACGTAAAATTTGAATAACTAGCAAGTAAATCAATAATTCTTAATTGTACTTCATTCTGAAGTATTTTCACGTGGATTAATAATTTGATCATAAACTATTAATTCTCGATGATAATTTACAGAATAACATAAATTGACTTAAACCAAAGTTTATCATTAATAGTTTGTTCTTCACGATTATTTCGAAAACTTTCCATACCAGGAATTAATAGACGTGAAATCAATTGAAGTGAATTTATTATGAATAGTCATATTGACATTAAATCGTTTGCCTTTTCTTGAATCGATTCCTCCAAAGTTGTTATAGTATTATTATTATTAATAAGTCCTATTGATATTTTGACGAGTATTAATCATTGACTTTTTACTACCTTTTTTATTTGTTTCTCATTTGTTAACCATGATACAGAATTTTGTGGTGCTAACTGATCAGCAAAATTAACCAAATTCATCAATACGATTAAATAAATAAAGACAGATGTTTATCAGCAAATTTCTTGACAAAAAATGACGACACATATTCACAGCATTACGACCAATATGTGAACGTTCTTCCGGGCATAAATCATGACAAGATTGTACAGCTTGTGAACAAATACTTGGAAATACAATGGTAAATCTTAATTGGTGCTGGACATATACGACAATTTCAGTGAATTTAGTAGGATAAAAATATCTAAAAATGGACATAATCTGAAAACTAATCGTAGTAATTCATCTAAATAATCGACAAGTTTAGTATGTAATATCGTGGAATTGATATGTTCAACAAGTCGTCGATAATTACTTAACTAGCAGTGCTAGCTTCAACATGACAGGACAAGCTTGTAAACGTAAACCAATCAAGTCGTATCCCAGAAAAATCAAACATTGCTGATTGCATAGGATTTAAATTTGTTTCACGTACAATAGGAATTATCAGCCAAGTTCACATAATTGTTTTGCAATCGAAGTAAAAATAACAAGCTTCTTCATTATTCACATGTGGTAGAATATCTTGTATATATTCATTAGCCAGGTCCAATCATAACAACCCAATAATTGAAGATAAAAACGTTGTATAACAGCACTGTAACGTATAACATAATGAACGAAGTTCATCCATTCTGAAAAGTAGTTCCGGTAAGAATGGATCATTCAGTTCATCAGCCTCCTGTACGTGAAGAGACAGTCTGGAACTTTCTTTGTATTGGATTAGCAGAATGCCTTAACAAAGCCAATGAACTTCCAATCTGAAGACATAGGATAGGGAGCCCAAAATAACCAAAAACGGCTTAGGACCCCAATTAATATCAGGTTCATCAGACAAAATAAGATGAAGTTGACGCAAAGATAATCGTAAATAAGCTCGTCTATCAGCATGCATTTTAGGAGTTTGTGAACATGCAATTGAAAATGTCTCTTTAATTTCATTTATACGCTTAGCGCCTACTTTATTAACCCATGAAGATTCAAGAAATGATTGTAGAAGAGAATGAATATAAATTACCTCTTCTCTGAACAATACAACAACATATGAATGACGTAGAGCTACTTTCAGTCGATTAAATGATTCTTCATCAGTTAATTCAGGATATATCAATAAATAACCAAAAACTACCCATCTTTCCATCACTTCGTAAGGTATTAATTCACAACCTAATTGTTCTCCAAGGACGGTGTGCGTTACTTTACTTGGTTCATGTAAAATATCTAAAAAGTATCCATCACTCCAATTTTGAGCTCTTACTGTTCGTCGATTTGTAAAAATCATTCAAAGAACGAAGAGCTCTTGATAATGTACGAGAATAAGGATTTATCTCTTTGTGTAAACGATTGAGCATACCTTCAGAAGTCTCAGTAAATATTTCTGCCATACGAGGATAATTAGGCTCTTGTTTTCCATGTAATTGATCGTAACAAAAAATTGAAAAGAATCAAAATAGCTTTTGTGTCTGGAATACGTGTAATGAGAAACATCATTGCGAAATAATTACTAACAAGTTCCAAATAAATTCGTGTAACATCAAAGTTTACAGTGATATCGGGTGTTATTTTGAAGATGCTAAACATCCTATAAGATCAATGAAATGATCTCTTACATCAAGAACATCCACAAAGTTAAAGTAGTAAACAGATAACATTGCAAATAATTCTTTTTGATGATTAAAAAATGGTTGCATAGTGGACTGATTTGATTTGAAATCGATAGAAGGAAATTTCTTGAGTAAAACTTTCCAAGCTGCATCAAATGTTTTATCACCACCTGGAAGTACAGTTGGTCGACATTCAGGTATAGTAAGCATTTGTTTCATATAGTGGATACGAGTTAATACACCAAGTTGACGATCATTTAAATAAACAAACGTTCAGCTAACTTTTGATGTATTAGAGACATTTCATATGATATATAATCTAAAAAAGATGAAAAGTTTTTTACTCATTAATAAATCGTTACAACAACAGCAGGAAACTGAACAGATCGAATTAATAGCCTCACTTTGTGCTTATCAGTGTTGTTTATTTATCTGAACATGTAATTATTGGTCTTAAATGTTTGTGCACCACACAAATCAACAGGTACGTGTGTAAGATAGGATTTTCAGGTGCCTAGAATGAAGTAAGTGGTTTACTTAGGAGGTCGTCCTAACCTTTTGATCGACAGACCTAGCCTACAAGGCAGTAGAGTGACATTAGATGGGGTTTTATGAAAGCCGGTCACTAAGAATAGGCTTATACAGAATCCGGGAGACTATGTGCGTTATTAAATTGGAATCAGGGTCCCTCAAATTTTCTACCGTATCTACAAACAATGCCATTACTCACCACATGTGATAAGCGTCCGGTTTTTGGGCCAGAACAAAACATAGCCCCCTACAGTGATGAATAATGTTCAAAACATGTAAAGTTTGTCCCTTATATACGATTATTAACTAAATGAAACTTACGATCTTTCATTGCCCTACACAATTTTATTAAAAGTACGACTGATTTCAGTCACAGTTAAGTACGCAAAGTACAGGGACTAAATAAAGGTTAGTCGGAATCAGCCACTTGGAATTCGAGTCGTGAACAATCGTTAACTGAAGGATATATTTACGTGCAGGTAAAAAGGGAATACATCGGTAAAATATGGTCGAATAAAGTCAGAGTTAGTTTGGGGGAATCCTGGGCAGTTATAAAACTTCGTCCTTACGGAAATTTAATTTAAACGTTTATTTATGCGCAAATTTTTCAGTGCTTTTATTGCCGATCTCTAAAATTGTTAGTTAGAGAAGTTTCTCAACAAAGAGATACATCACCATTAATTCCTAGTGAGCGAAGAGACACAATACATCAAATAATAATCACAGCAAGACATTAGGCGTTTATTTTCATGACATTAACCGTTATTTTAGGATATCGTCACATGACAAACTATACCTACCGTCACAATGTAGACCCCTACCTTGCAGTTGTGCAACCCGCGTTACGAAAGCTAGCATTCAATATCGCCAGTTTGGGTACAATGGAAAGTTTGAAATTATATGTTATTCTTAATCGAGAGGATTTATCAGTTTATACCTCTGTTTTCATGAAATGTATATCAATCTTTTGACGGCCAATGTTGTTGCATATCTGCATCATCATGGTTATGTTGAGAATGCTGACTTACCATAGCGGTTCTCCTGGATGAGCATTTGGAGCTTCTCACCCTGATTAAGAAGTTGCTGAGTGGCGATGTCAGCTTATTTGGTCTGATCTCGAATGGTAATGAGGCAACTAGTGCTCTTATTGTTTTTTTCCATACGTTAACGAAGTACAGCAACTGCTTAATTCTTCGACACTTGCTTGCAGACAAAGTCAAAAGTAGGAGTACAATGAGTTGTAAGGCTGATCATCTTGACTAGTTAGATAGTCACATAGTTGGGGTTTACAAATATGTTCTAGAAGGAGTGTGTTAATGCTTATTAGTTATCAGTATACTACCAGGTGTGTAAGAGCAAACAGTTTTAATAAGTCGTGACTTGAAAACAACAGCACATTATAATGGGAAGTTATACCCCATCTATAAGAGACCTTACCTAGTGCTATCGCACATGGGCGTGTCCAACGTGTGAGTACTTGGTTAGTGACAGGTTTCTCAAATTCCCTCAATGCTGAGCGCTTAGGATGCCTAAACCTTTCAACTTATCTTACTGCAGAACTTGAGGTGGTCTTGTTTTGGCACTCCGTATCTTGAATAACTGGTTGACAAACTGGTTTATGCTATAGTGCCACCCAAAACTAAGCATCTCCAAGGCTACTGCAGGGGGGTTCCGAAACTGCGATCAAGTAAACTGGGAGTGGGATTCCATCTTTCTCATGAAGTGGTCAATGACTGGAACTCACAACCCGTACATGTAGTATCAATTACATCAGCAGAAATTCTCAAGCATAAGCTACATCCCGTTCGGAAAGCAACCTACTATTCTGATTTCTAAAAGTAAAACTGAAATGACAAACTGTGAAGCTTTAGGTACTTGCTGAGTAAAAGTATTCAACACGAAGATTGAATACAAAAATCGGCTTCCATATAACTTGTTCGTTTACACGGCGCGTCTCGCGCCAAATTCACTTCCCTTCCCGCACCATGCTGTTCTGACTACAATGCCCTCTCGACGCATTGAATTCCTCTTACTCTTCTCTCACCCTCCACCTCCACGCCCCGCTTGGTGTTGCTATGAGAAGGCCCTCGACTATCCCCGTTGCCTGTTTAGGATCCTGTAAACAATCGTCCCCCAGTCAGATTTCTTTCCACCCCATACCCTATACCCCCCCCTCCGTCCCGCCCCGAGACCTGCCAATCGAAAAAAGTGGACTTATTTTTGAAGCACACGAAAGCTGTATTCAATCTTCGTGTTGAATACTTTTACTCAGCAAGTACCTAAAGCTTCACAGTTTGTCATTTCAGTTTTACTTTTAGAAATCAGAATAGTAGGTTGCTTTCCGAACGGGATGTAGCTTATGCTTGAGAATTTCTGCTGATGTAATTGATACTACATGTACGGGTTGTGAGTTCCAGTCATTGACCACTTCATGAGAAAGATGGAATCCCACTCCCAGTTTACTTGATCGCAGTTTCGGAACCCCCCTGCAGTAGCCTTGGAGATGCTTAGTTTTGGGTGGCACTATAGCATAAACCAGTTTGTCAACCAGTTATTCAAGATACGGAGTGCCAAAACAAGACCACCTCAAGTTCTGCAGTAAGATAAGTTGAAAGGTTTAGGCATCCTAAGCGCTCAGCATTGAGGGAATTTGAGAAACCTGTCACTAACCAAGTACTCACACGTTGGACACGCCCATGTGCGATAGCACTAGGTAAGGTCTCTTATAGATGGGGTATAACTTCCCATTATAATGTGCTGTTGTTTTCAAGTCACGACTTATTAAAACTGTTTGCTCTTACACACCTGGTAGTATACTGATAACTAATAAGCATTAACACACTCCTTCTAGAACATATTTGTAAACCCCAACTATGTGACTATCTAACTAGTCAAGATGATCAGCCTTACAACTCATTGTACTCCTACTTTTGACTTTGTCTGCAAGCAAGTGTCGAAGAATTAAGCAGTTGCTGTACTTCGTTAACGTATGGAAAAAAACAATAAGAGCACTAGTTGCCTCATTACCATTCGAGATCAGACCAAATAAGCTGACATCGCCACTCAGCAACTTCTTAATCAGGGTGAGAAGCTCCAAATGCTCATCCAGGAGAACCGCTATGGTAAGTCAGCATTCTCAACATAACCATGATGATGCAGATATGCAACAACATTGGCCGTCAAAAGATTGATATACATTTCATGAAAACAGAGGTATAAACTGATAAATCCTCTCGATTAAGAATAACATATAATTTCAAACTTTCCATTGTACCCAAACTGGCGATATTGAATGCTAGCTTTCGTAACGCGGGTTGCACAACTGCAAGGTAGGGGTCTACATTGTGACGGTAGGTATAGTTTGTCATGTGACGATATCCTAAAATAACGGTTAATGTCATGAAAATAAACGCCTAATGTCTTGCTGTGATTATTATTTGATGTATTGTGTCTCTTCGCTCACTAGGAATTAATGGTGATGTATCTCTTTGTTGAGAAACTTCTCTAACTAACAATTTTAGAGATCGGCAATAAAAGCACTGAAAAATTTGCGCATAAATAAACGTTTAAATTAAATTTCCGTAAGGACGAAGTTTTATAACTGCCCAGGATTCCCCCAACTAACTCTGACTTTTTCGACCATATTTTACCGATGTATTCCCTTTTTACCTGCACGTAAATATATCCTTCAGTTAACGATTGTTCACGACTCGAATTCCAAGTGGCTGATTCCGACTAACCTTTATTTAGTCCCTGTACTTTGCGTACTTAACTGTGACTGAAATCAGTCGTACTTTTAATAAAATTGTGTAGGGCAATGAAAGATCGTAAGTTTCATTTAGTTAATAATCGTATATAAGGGACAAACTTTACATGTTTTGAACATTATTCATCACTGTAGGGGGCTATGTTTTGTTCTGGCCCAAAAACCGGACGCTTATCACATGTGGTGAGTAATGGCATTGTTTGTAGATACGGTAGAAAATTTGAGGGACCCTGATTCCAATTTAATAACGCACATAGTCTCCCGGATTCTGTATAAGCCTATTCTTAGTGACCGGCTTTCATAAAACCCCATCTAATGTCACTCTACTGCCTTGTAGGCTAGGTCTGTCGATCAAAAGGTTAGGACGACCTCCTAAGTAAACCACTTACTTCATTCTAGGCACCTGAAAATCCTATCTTACACACGTACCTGTTGATTTGTGTGGTGCACAAACATTTAAGACCAATAATTACATGTTCAGATAAATAAACAACACTGATAAGCACAAAGTGAGGCTATTAATTCGATCTGTTCAGTTTCCTGCTGTTGTTGTAACGATTTATTAATGAGTAAAAAACTTTTCATCTTTTTTAGATTATATATCATATGAAATGTCTCTAATACATCAAAAGTTAGCTGAACGTTTGTTTATTTTAAATGATCGTCAACTTGGTGTATTAACTCGTATCCACTATATGAAACAAATGCTTACTATACCTGAATGTCGACCAACTGTACTTCCAGGTGGTGATAAAACATTTGATGCAGCTTGGAAAGTTTTACTCAAGAAATTTCCTTCTATCGATTTCAAATCAAATCAGTCCACTATGCAACCATTTTTTAATCATCAAAAAGAATTATTTGCAATGTTATCTGTTTACTACTTTAACTTTGTGGATGTTCTTGATGTAAGAGATCATTTCATTGATCTTATAGGATGTTTAGCATCTTCAAAAATAACACCCGATATCACTGTAAACTTTGATGTTACACGAATTTATTTGGAACTTGTTAGTAATTATTTCGCAATGATGTTTCTCATTACACGTATTCCAGACACAAAAGCTATTTTGATTCTTTTCAATTTTTTGTACGATCAATTACATGGAAAACAAGAGCCTAATTATCCTCGTATGGCAGAAATATTTACTGAGACTTCTGAAGGTATGCTCAATCGTTTACACAAAGAGATAAATCCTTATTCTCGTACATTATCAAGAGCTCTTCGTTCTTTGAATGATTTTTACAATCGACGAACAGTAAGAGCTCAAAATTGGAGTGATGGATACTTTTTAGATATTTTACATGAACCAAGTAAAGTAACGCACACCGTCCTTGGAGAACAATTAGGTTGTGAATTAATACCTTACGAAGTGATGGAAAGATGGGTAGTTTTTGGTTATTTATTGATATATCCTGAATTAACTGATGAAGAATCATTTAATCGACTGAAAGTAGCTCTACGTCATTCATATGTTGTTGTATTGTTCAGAGAAGAGGTAATTTATATTCATTCTCTTCTACAATCATTTCTTGAATCTTCATGGGTTAATAAAGTAGGCGCTAAGCGTATAAATGAAATTAAAGAGACATTTTCAATTGCATGTTCACAAACTCCTAAAATGCATGCTGATAGACGAGCTTATTTACGATTATCTTTGCGTCAACTTCATCTTATTTTGTCTGATGAACCTGGATTATTGGGTCCTAAAGCGTTTTTGGTATTTTGGGGCTTATCCTATGCTTCAGATGAAGTTCATTGGCTTTTAAGGCATTCTGCTAATCCAATTACAAAGAAAAGTTCCACTGTCTCTTCACGTACAGGAGGACCATTTTCAAGTGATGAACTGAATGATCCATTCTTACCGGAACTACTTTTCAGAATGGATGAACTTCGTTCATTAGTTATACGTTACAGTGCTGTTATACAACGTTTTTATCTTCAATTATTGGGTTGTTATGATGGACCTGGGCTAAATGAATATATACAAGATATTCTACCACATGTGAATAATGAAGAAGCTGTTATTTTTACTTCGATTGCAAAACAATTATGTGAACTTGCTGATAATCCTATTGTACGTGAAACAAATTTAAATCCTATGCAATCAGCAATGTTTGATTTTTCTGGGATACGACTTGATTGGTTACGTTTACAAGCTTGTCTGTCATGTGAAGCTAGCACTGCTAGTTTAAGTAATTATCGACGACTTGTTGAACATATCAATTCCACGATATTACATACTAAACTTGTCGATTATTTAGATGAATTACTACGATTAGTTTCAGATATGTCCATTTTTATATTTTATCCTACTAAATTCACTGAAATGTTTACCAATTGTCGTATATGTCCAGCACAATTAAGATTTACCATTGTATTTCCAAGTATTTGTTCACAAGCTGTACAATCTTGTCATGATTTATGCCCGGAAGAACGTTCACATATTGGTCGTAATGCTGTGAATATGTGTCGTCATTTTTGTCAAGAAATTGCTGATAACATCTGTCTTTATTTATTTAATCGTATTGATGAATTTGGTAATTTGGCTGATCAGTTAGCACCACAAAATTCTGTATCATGGTTAACAAATGAGAAACCAATAAAAAAAGGTAGTAAAAAGTCAATGATTAATACTCGTCAAAATATCAATGGACTTATTAATAATAATAATACTAATAACAACTTTGGAGGAATCGATTCAAGAAAAGGCAAACGATTTAATGTCAATATGACTATTCATAATAAATTCACTTCAATTGATTCACGTCTATTAATTCCTGGTATGGAAAGTTTTCGAAATAATCGTGAAGAACAAACTATTAATGATAAAACATTATTTGGTTTAAGTCAATTATGTTATTCTGTAAATTATCATCGAGAATTAATAGTTTATGATCAAATTATTAATCCACGTGAAATACTTCAGAATGAAGTACAATTAAGAATTATTGATTTACTTGCTAGTTATTCAAATTTTACGTAAGTTTTCTTTGTTGTATACATTTGTTGTTGTAATATAATATACATTTACATGTATGCCATGAGATTATAACTGATTATATAGTGTTTTTTTTGTATGCTCAAACTGTCAAGTTTTTGCCTTTCCTAGTTGTGTTCAGTGAACCAATAGCATTGACTTATTTATTATGCCTGTTACCCCTAGTCGAGCATAGGTCGCCGACCAGCATTCTTCAACTTACTGTGTTTTGGGCCTTTCTCCTTAGTTCTATCCAATTTTTGTTCATTCTCCTCGTGTCCGCCTCCTACTTCAAGTGGTGTCTGTCAGGGATGTTCACTTTCTCTATTCGTGTTTAATTTTGTCAAAGACATCTTGGATTTGAACTGACAGTTGCGTCTCTGTGCTGATGGGGCATGGCAACCTGAACTGATGTACGTACGTAGGAAGTTCTGCGTTGTATCTTTCTGTCTTTCTTTTCAAAGACACGCTTTTAGATACAACCTTATCGTCTTCTGAATTTTCAGGAGTAGACCTTTTACCAGGAGCCACGCTTGCTGACTTAGAATATGTCAATGACATAGTCCTACTTGGTGAAGACGCTGACAAAATGCAGTCTTCTGACTACCATAAGCAACAATGCGAGCATGTTCGGGATGCGGTTTTCCCCCTCGAAATGCAAAATGTTGCTTCAAGACTGGGTTGCTTCGGCACCTGAACTAGTGATAGGGAGTGAAGTAGTCGAGCGTGTAGATCACTTCACTTATCTGGGGAGTCTCATCAGTGCTGACGGTCTGGTGACTGACGAAATCTCAGCTCGGATACAGAAAGCTCGATTGGCTTTTGCCAACCTGCGTCACTTATGGCGTAGGCGTGATATCCGTTCGCTAACCAAAGGGCGGGTGTACTGCGCAGCAGTTCGCTCCGTTCTCTTATATGGCTGTGAAACATGGCCGTTAAGAGTAGAAGATGTTCGTAGGTTACTAGTATTCGATCATAGATGTTTAAGAAGCATTGCTCGTATATCGTGGGACAACCGAGTAAGCAATGCTGTCGTTAGGAAACGAATACTAGGTAAGAATGGCAGATCGATCGATGAAGTGGTGAAACTTCATCAGTTGAGGTGGTTGGGACATGTGTTACGTATGCCTAACCACCGACTGCCTCGACGAGCTATGTTTTGTAGTGTAGGAGTAGGTTGGAAGAAAGCTAGGGGCGGCCAGATCAAAACATGGCAGAAATCCATGAAGTCACTGACAAGTGGACTGAGTGATGTTGGTAGATGTAGACTACCTGGTTGGGGTCCGCGAGACGAAAGTCACCGACAGTTAGAGACCTTGAACGACATGGCTCAAAATCGTTTGCAATGGCGCAGGTGCATCCACTCTTTGTGTTCTCTCAAATCCTATTCTTCTGGATTAGCCAGCACCACTATCTTTGTCTTTCTAACCTTATCTCACTGAATTATATTTTTTGAATAATATCTTAAACCCTAGTCTTCTTTATTATAATATTAATACCTCTACTATCTTTATCACTATGGGATATGATTTGACATTTACGTGTCTGTGCTAATAATGTGGTATGGCAACATGAACTTATGTACATACGTACGAAGTTCTACGTTGCAACTGACTGACTGATATAGGAGATTTGGAAATAGTATTTAGGGTTGTATTGGGATATTTGAATTTGGACACTGCTAGGACTGAATAGCTATACGTAGTGTTGTAACGCTTGCTTAGATAATTCCCAGCTAAGTCCTATTGCTTAGTATTCTCTGACCACAATACACTGGACAAGCTCCCAAGAATCGAAACACGGTTGAACAGGGAAAGATTATATTCCAAATAGAAAAGGTTAAATGGAATAAGAGCCGAAGAAGGCAAAAATAGATACGTTAGTTTATTTATAGCATTTACATGAGAAGCTTCTGGATAGAAATCCACGTGATCGAATGGATTAGATTTAACCAATCAGCACGCAGCTAACAATACGAGAATTTTCTACCCTGTTCTCCAAGAGTCGATCGGGCCGCTGATTGGATTAGGAAATTAGCCAATCAGCGCGTAGCAACGTAGTCATGCTTTAATTCCATCTGTGTCCCACTAACACGTAGCAGCATTATAACAGTTTTCGCTTGGGCTCTGCGGTCACGCTCCTAGGTCGCTAAGACCAACACTAATCTACCTTCTTTTTCAGGTTCTTCTAGAAACACCTTTTGACGGTGTTGGCAGCCAGGAAGTGACATCCGCCCGTAAAACAGCAGCATGTGAGACCTATCGAATCGGTCACAATTAAATCACAAATACAAATTACCCTTTTAAAATCATTTTTTTTATTGTACATTTCTTTCGTTGAACAAATACATACTCTCGGTTTTACATATATATTTATATATGCGTTAATACAATTAGAAATAACACACTAAATTGATACATCACGAATCAATGTTTATTCATTCAAGTTACGTAACTTATCATTAGATTATAAATTGAACCAGTTAAAAAAAAATATAAATAAACATATAGAATTCCACTGTATTTAATTGGTAATTATTGATTATGAGGTTGTTGGTAGTAGTAGTAGTGTGTGTGTAGTAGTAGTGTGGTGCGCGCTACTTATAAGTAGTATATGACGTGAGTGAAAAAACGTAATGTCTGGCAGCAGAAGATGGGGGCAGATCAAGAAAGGAAGAGTTAGAAGAACACAATGGAATTTGTATGAAACGCATGAATAGTAGTGACAATGGATTGATGTTTTGCAACAGGAACAGTCCAGTTCGCTATGATGAACTGTTATTTTGCAAATGAACGATTTACGATATGGTTTTCCAATTTTACTGAGTAACTCTGTAATTTTCCGTTAAATACAATTCGGTTGCCCCACCTGTGTTCTCGTTCACTACAGTAGTAGTAGTAGTAGTAGTGTGTGTAGTAGTAGTAGTATTGGTAGTAGTAGTAGTAGTGTAGTGAAGGAGAACACAGGTGAGGGCAAATTACAGAGTTAATTGGTAAAATAGGAAAACCATATCGTAAACCGTTAATTTGCAAAACATCAATCGATTGTCTGACATTTCACTATTCATGCGTTTCATACAAATTCCATTGTGTTCCCACTCTTCCTTTCTTGATCTTCTTCCTCCATCTTCTGCTACCAGACATTACGTTTCTACTCACGTCATATACTACTTATAAGTAGCTCACACCACACTTGTCCCCCCTTTTAATAAGCTGTCGTCGTAGTCTTTCAAAACAGGGACCCTGGTCAGTTAATATCACCTTCCGTATTCCGTGACACGCTACAATATGCCGGATTACCACTTCCGTCATTGTTCTTGCCTGCTGGTCTGGAATGGGTACGGCATCTGTCAAACGTGTAGCGTTTACTAGTTCCCGCTGCTGGAATACGGCGGCAGGCACACTCTCGATAAATTGCGACGTCAACAACTGTGCCTCCGACTCCCCAATCATACTCGGCAGCGTACGGCGCAGCAACATCGTGAGCTCCACAGCCAGCACCAACGGGTTACTGTCAGCCGACAGTATCACCAACCGGAACCTCTGCGGCGCCTCCTCCCTGTCCATTGGGTTGTCGAACTCCGTCATCAGCCGCCCGGTGACCGTCTTCCCGGCGGCACCGTCCAGGCTGTCGTATACCGCCTTCGCCTCACCTCCCCGCAGCGTCCCCAGCACCGCCAACTCCGCCCCGGGCGCTTTCACACCTACCAGCTCCGCCGTGGCCTCAAATTCCTCCAGGAAGCTCCGCAAATCTCCGTCCTCCAACTCCTTCAGCCACGGGAGCTCCTTCCTTCGGGCAGGCAGCGACACCAAATGTAGTGAACGAGAACACAGGTGAGGGCAACCGAATTGTATTTATCTCAAATTACAGAGTTACTCAGTAAAATTGGAAAACCATATCGTAAATCCTTCATTTGCAAAATATCAGTTCATCATATCGAACTGGACTGTTCCTGTTGCAAAACATCGATCCATTGTCACTATTTATGCGTTTCATGCAAATTCCATTGTGTTCCCACTCTTCCTTTCTTGATCTTCCCCCATCTTCTGCTGCCAGACATTACGTTTTTACTCGCGTCATATACCACAGTAGAAGTAGTAGTAGTTAGAATTGTTTCACTTTTTTTCAAATTGATTTGTTAATACAATTAGAATTAGAATTTACAGCTTACAATAAATTGAAAATCAAGTTTTTTTTCTCAAGAAAACTGGTGTTTTTTTTATTTT